TTTGATGGGTCAAAGATGATAACGTCTCTCGTTCGCATTCCTTTAAATTCAATGCACGGCATTACACAGTCAGAAAAATGAAGAACTCGTGAAAAGTATGCATAAATATATACCACATATATTTGTCATACAACAAGTGACACGTACCCACGTGACTCACTACAATCTGCTGCTCCTCCTCTGTGACGGTGTGCTCCTGCTGTGTGTAATATGTTAAAGTTTGTTTCACTCACATATTCAAATTGTGAACAAACAGGAAGCTGCTCAGTCTGCTGCAGCACCGACTGAACAAAAAACAGTGTTTTGATTTTCACTGTACTGCGTGCGTGCGTGCGTGCGTGCGTGCGTGCGTGCGTGCGTGCGTGCGTGTGTGTGTGTGTGTGTGTGTAGGTGAAGGCGTGGCTGGAGGAGGTTGGAGAGGTCCATCTGAAGACTCTGAGTGAACCTGCAGATTCTTTGGAGCTTCTGAACAAAAAGCAGCAGGACTTCAAAGATTTCTACACAACTGCACATGTATGACACACACACACACACACAGTTGACAGAATGTCATGTTTTTATTAGCTGCTCAGAACAGTTTAGATAGAACATATAGATAGAGTTTCACACCTTCTCACACTCCGCTTCACAGATGTTCTGTAGCTCTTTTATTTGTTGGTTTTTATCTGCAGTCTTTTTAAACAGTTTGAAATGTTTGTATTTAATGTAAAAACTCCCACCATATTAAAAACTGCCTCTTACATGTAAATATTTACCAGCCAGGGATTATTCAAGCCATTTTTATCTTCAAATGTCTGAAACCTGTTGTTAAACAGGTTCTGACGAGCTTTCATCCTCATCAGAAACTTGAAACCTCAAGATGCATGCGCCCTCTGCTGGACACACTGCACAATTACAGCTGGTTCCAGCATTTTAGAGGTTAAAATTAGAAGTGTTTACATCAGCACATAATGGGACATTTATCACCAAAAATCTATATCAGCCTAAAACATCAGACCTGCTGATGTATCGGTCGGGCTCTAATTTTAACTAACACTTGAAGCTTGCCCATCCTTTGCCAAACTAGAGTAATCAGAACGTCCACAAAGAACATGTCGCTCAACGTGGAACTATTTCTGACCTTGAGAATGTGGCTAACGAGCATGGAAACCAGCAGCTGAGCAAACATGGTAAAACTGCTACAGGAGACACTTGGAGCAAGTCTTAATGAAGACTTGAAGGTCTAGGTGGAACACGTAGTCCTGCCACAGGACTCAGATGGGCCACGACATACAGAGTTGATGCGTGATTCATTTAAGAGCTTGTTGGGGCTTGAGGAGAAACCCAGGCCACCATATGCTGTGGACATGTTGGAGCTCCTTCTGTTGGTCTGTGCAGCTGCAGCAGACAGTGTGTTTGTCCCTTCTGGGGTGCCGTAGTTACACAACGTTGAGTTTGTCTTAGTTCTGTTCACGGTTTCTGAACGTTCCCACAAAACTAAAAGTTTTGCATGAATCAGGTCCGACCTGCTGACTGATGGTTCTGTTCTGCCCGGTCCTTACAGCGGTCTTCCTTTCTGCTTTCAGGACCACTGCAAAAAAGGTCAGGCTCTGCTGGCCCGCCTAGAGCATTGGGACAACGCGTCATCAGCTGACCCCGGCATCTGTGGGGTCAAAGTTCACTCATTTTGGACTCAGCTGCAGGATTTCTCTCAGCGCGTCAAGAGTACCGGGAACAACATCGATCGGGCCATCCAGCTGTACCGCTTCTTGGATCAGGTGAGACAAACCTCCAGGTGGTTCTGACTGGGTTCTGTTCCTGGAAACTGCTGCAGCAAAACAATGGACATCAGGAAAGATGGTGATCATCTTCAGATCTGTCTGGATTCTGAGAACAGCTGACTTGTTTGAGTCTCCTCCTCCTCTCTTCGTCGCCTCCTGCAGAGATACTGACGAGTTACAGTGAGACCAGGAGGAGGAGTGGGGGAGCATTCAATGATGGGATTGTGTTTGTTAATGCCGTCAGAAGTTTCCATTCATCCTTGAGTCAAATAAAACTATTTATAAAACAACAAAGTCCATGCTCAATAATCCAGGTATACAATCCAAAATTTTTCAGTCAGGTCATCTGGATAGTTTCTTTTTTTTTTTTTTGTTTTTTTGGTGCTGAAACGTTTCTCCTTCGGTCCTAAAGGCTTCATCAGTCAAGGAAACGCACAACAAAACTGATTCTTCCCCCGTTTTGTTGTGTGTTTCCTTGACTGATGAAGCCTTCTGGACCGAAGGCGAAACGTTTCAGCACAAAAAAAAGAAACTGTCCAGATGACCTAACTGAAAAATTTTGGATATTTATAAAACACCTTTCATAAGATGCTTTACAGCAGGAAAAAAAACAACATAAAACAAACAAGTGGATCAGAACCACAGCCCAGATGATCTACAATTTCCTGCAGGATCAATAAAGTTCTATCTTATCTGATCTTGTTTAAATCAGCAGGAAGTGGTGACAACATGAATGACACCGGATGAGAAAGTCACAGTTTTTAGAACTTTTCCAGCTTGGAATGACTCGATAGTACGATATGATTTATACAACTTTAAAGACAGGTTTGAGTTTTTGATGGATCACAAAGGGTCAAAATCATTCATTCAGGTTCAAATAGATCCATTCCAACTTTCACTGGTTAGATGTCCCTTAGCCAGTGTCTCAGGCTGTTTGTGTCCATCAAGCTTCGGGTTGATGTTGGACATCTCTGCAGATTGGCAAAAATAATCAAGTTTGCTTCAAACAGCTGGTTTCTTGTCCAGCTGCAACAAGGTTCAGATGTCCTCCTGTATGTGAAGAACTTTCACTTACTTACTTTGAGTCCATCTGAAACACCCAAACACGGCCGTGCAGCTAGAGACCGTGACTGGTTCAGCACTTATTTTTGTTTCCTTTCTTGCCATCACCAGTAGTGACTCTGCTCGAACATCTTGCTCCAGTAACATGAAGGTTTACTTTCAATCCTAGTTTAAGTCCAGTCCAGAAAAACACTTGTCTTGAAAACTGCACAAACTGATCTGTGTGCAGTCCAGGTGTCACATCAGTGTCAGGGTTTCCCTCCTCCCTCCTTTATGCTGCTTTCACTACACAGTCTTTGTTGCCATGGTAACCACCTCCCCCCAACGAGACCGCCTCTTTGCCATTCAGACTGAACCCTCTCGTTAAAGAGACGGGGGCCGGTTTGTGTGTGGTCAGGGTGCCACTCTCTGCTCATTTCAGTCCAACTGCAGAGCTTCAGCACAGAGGTACGACACCACACACACACACACACACACACACACACACACACACACACACACAC